GTATACGACTTCGCCAGACGACCAGCACTCACCAACCGCTCCTTCGATGCCACGCATGTGCTGCAGAGCCACTCCTTCTCCAGCACAGTGACGACCTCGTTGTCAATCGGGGGCGTGTGGCAGTATTGGTGGTACGCAGTGCTACATGCATCACAGAATACTATCCGGTTATTGCTCGGGTCCGTCTCGCGATGGCACGTCTTGCACTTTGCAGCCAGCATTGTCTTTGTGGACCTTCGCCGCTTGACACCCTGTGCTGGCTCGGGGATGGTGGGCACAAAGACGACAGGCTTGTGGATGCTGCGACCAGACTTGGTGCGCGTTGGGAGGGGGGTGTGCGAGGAGGACATGTCAGAATCATCGTCGTCGTGCTGCCGAGAGTCAGTGAAGGGCGTCGGTCCAGAGGGTAGCGAACACGCTCACATCACTCTCCTCTTCACTGTCAGATCGCTTCCTCTTGCTGCCTCTGCCTCTGCCTCCCCCTCTGCCATTACCACTACCACGACCCCTTCCTCGTCCTCGGCCGCGCCCAGAGCCCCGCCCAGACGAGTTCCCCGTGGGCGATGCGCCTACTTCGGTCTTGAGGCCACTCGGAGTCCCGACTCTGCCGCCTCGTCCTCGGCGGCCCGTGGTGGGCATGGGCGGAGGCGTAGGTAGTTTGTCGCTGGTCACGTACTTTTGTAGGATTTCCGCCCGCTTGGCTTCGAGGGCAGCATGTCTGGACGCATGTCCTCCGTTGCCCTGCAGACGCTCGAGTATGGCCGCCGTGGAGGCAGAGAATTGAGGGAAACTGGACCCGCTGGCGGCAGCGGTAGAAGCAGAAGTGGGAACGGGAGGAGTGGTAGTGGGAGGTGTAGTGGCAGTGGTAGTGGAGGTGGTAGTGGCAGAAGTAGTGGCAGTAGTGGCACTCTGGGCGGCCATGTCCGGCGATGGGGACTGTGGCATGGAGGCAGTCGAAGGCAGGCCATTGTCGGCGCCATGTGGCTCGTTGGCGGAATTCAGCAGGTCCATGGTGCTTCTTACGGACCGGCGACCGCTGTCTTTGGGTGTAGGAATAGTGTAATTGCGCTGGGCGGCGGTCGGGGTATGGAAAGAGAGGTCCAAGTCGGTCGCATGAAGTCAGTTGCGCTCGGATCGAGCCATGCGTCGAGCCAAGGGTACCGGTACCATACCGGGAGTTGCTAGCATTGCCCAGGAATGGGATTCGGTCCCCCGACTTGTTAAACTGCAACATCAGATTACTTCCACGTACACGCACAACACGTATTCAATTTTACACAATATCTGAATGACTCTGGTATGAGATCAACACGGGCCTTCAGTATTCGGATTCCACAATTGCATCTGGCTTCAAGACCCTTCCGCCCTCAACCATAGTGCATCACGCTACCACTCCCTCACCCCGCAACTCGTCTACCTCTGCTTTGCTCATTTTGAGCATGCCCTCTAGGACTTCGTCTGTATGCTGACCAAGCGTTGGTGGTGCCGATCGAATACCCGGCGTCGACTCAGACCATTTCACAGGCGTGTTGACCAGCTTGATAGGTCCGCACGCTGGGTGATCAATCTCTTTGACCATGTCTCGGGCAAGCACTACGATAACCAATTTCTTAGTGGACACAAGGAGACATGTAGAGCGGAAACATACCATGCTCATGATTCAGAGTATCCTGAACATCATTGATGGCAGCGTAAGCTATAGTGGTCAGCTGGCTCTGGCCTCCACAATGACCGGACTCAAATGCAGACTCACGCATGCCACTTCCTTCTAGTATCCCGAGCAGTTCTTGTGTGGTTTTCTGTCGCGTCTCATTCTCAATCAGCTCTTCCAATGTATCCCTGTTTTGCACCCTCAAGGCATTCGTCTTGAATCTCTCGTCAGTGGCCCATTCTGGCTTGCCTAGTTTACTACAGATGATGCCAAAGAGGCGGTCATTGCCACCCCCAAGGAGAATATCGCCGTCAGACGTCTTGAAGGCTTTGTAAGGAACGATGGATGGATGGGAGGTTCCCCATCTTCCCGAGTCTCTTTGTCCACTGATGAGACAGGAACTGGCAATATTAGCTAGGGTGGCCACCTGACAGTCGCTAAGCGCAACGTCAATGTGTTGACCTCTGCCAGTCCTCATCCGGCGGAAGAGAGCAGCTATGACAGAGTTCGAGGTGTACAACCCCGTTGTCAGATCAGTGACTGCTACACCCACTTTCACTGGCGGACCATCTCTTGTGCCAGTGATGTGCATGAGGCCCATTTCACTAAGTGCTGTTAGAACAAGCCTCAGCCTTCAGCTAGCAAGAGCATACGCTTCTACCATGACATCGTAGCCAGCCCTGTTCCGGTACGGCCCAGTTTGGCCGTAGCCGGTAATGCTGGCATATACGATGCTAGGGTTGATCTTGGAAACGGTAGCGTAGTCCATGGCATACTTGCCAAGTGACCCGGGAAGGTAGTTTTCCACGAGGACATCGCATTCTTTTACCAGGCGATGCAGTATATCAACGCCGGCCGGATGCTGGAAAGACAGGCCTAATGATCTCTTGTTGCGGTTAACCTGCGGATGATCAGCTGCGGCTACATGATTTGATCGACTATGTATACCCCTAGGTAGTATGCGCTTTCACCTGGACCTTGTTGTCTGTTGGTGTACTTGGCATAGGGTGGGCCCCATGCTCGAGTGTCGTCTGCGTCATGGCTTCAGAGGGCGTGCATTGTTTATGGCGGGATGACCAACCTCCTCTGACGGGGTGCTCGACTTTAATGACATCTGCACTGATAGTCCGTCAATCAATATCCCAGAGGTATGTCAACCTCGATGTTGATCCGTACAGGGCTGTCCTTCGCATACCCAAGATCGCCCAAGATTTGTGTACAATAGGGCTGATCATGTCAGTTTAGTGACCCACGGCAAAGAATTTAGCAGCTTACGCCAGCTAGCACTCTCGTCATATCCAGCACCTTTATGCCGTCCAGCGGCAGGTTGGATGCATCTCCACTTGCTGCCTCTGATGCGAATGGCCGAATTTGGGTGCTGCCAGGCCATTGGCGGGCGTAGCATGGCGAACAAGTGCGCAAGGCACTTCTTGAGCCCCGTACTGTAGCAGGCAACATGTTCCTGCTATTGTGCTGACCAGGACAACGTGAAGAGGGTGGTGATGACGGAATGATTCACGATCATGGCTAGTCATCTCCAAGCTTGGAACTCCCGGCACCGGTAACGTTAACGTTAAGTTACATCAGTCGGACTTCCGAGGCTCAACCCCACCAATCCACCATTGCTTCTCTCCGGGCTACCATATCTCTCTACCATCCAAGCCCACCATGTTTACCGGCCTAGTTGAAACCATTGGCAGTAAGTCGCAAGACTGCACTGAAGTGCAATTGCAATGACTTGTTTTGCAGCATGGCTGATTCTGGCTAGCTGTCTCCGCCCTGGAGGAGCGTGATCAGACGGCTTCCGGTGGTGGCGGGACCTCATTGACTATTTCGGGATGTGCGGACATTCTGGTGGATGCGCATCTGGGCGACAGCATCAGCGTCAATGGTACATTCACCCTCATCATTATTCACCCCCTTGGCCCACACATGTGTCGCTAATGGTTGCAGGCACGTGTCTGACAGTCACCGAGTTCGACCAGTCAACGTTCAAGATTGGATGCGCTCCCGAAACGCTGCGGCGCACCAATCTCGGATCACTCAAGAAAGGCTCCAAGGTCAACCTAGAGCGTGCTGTCTCAGCCAGCACGCGCATGGGCGGCCACTTTGTTCAAGGCCATGTCGATACAACTGCGACCATTGAATCGGTCACTCCCGACGGCAACGCCCTGACGTTTCGTTTCAAGCCCAGAGAGACAGCAGTCCTGCGTTATATTGTCGAAAAGGGCTACGTGACCATCGATGGGGCCAGCCTCACCGTCACCAGGGTCCAAGACGGCCCACAAGGCTGGTGGGAAGTAATGCTCATCGCGTACACACAGGAAAAGGTCATCACTGCATCCAAGAAGCCGGGTGACATTGTCAACGTTGAAGTGGATCAGGTTGGCAAGTACGTGGAGAAGAGTGTGGAAGGCTACTTCGAGGGCACTGCAAAGGGCGAGTTTGCTATATTGGAGAAGATGGTGTCAAGACTGGTCGACGAGAAGCTCAAAGCACTCGGCAAGTAGGCGTAACTCGGACTTTTTTTCCTCCAGAGTCGGTATATTTTGCTTTTGCTGATGGCTTCGGGAGCACATGCTGTGCATGCTCGATCAAGGATCACATGTGGCCAGTCAATGTGGCAGCCAGCACACCTTTACGACGCATCATCGGGATGGCTGTGATGGCAACTACAGCACCACCGACCGTGTATGGCTAGCCAGTATCATGTTGCAAACAGGCGATTGCCTAGTGCTGAGGCCTGAGAAATGGTTGGTGCCTGTCAAGGTGGCTGAACAAGGAGTGAGGCGCAGCCTTGTATACCATCAGATGTAGATATATAGCAACCAGTCGCCCCTCAATTCTTTCTAAGCTGCGCCCTTATTTTTCCCTATGTTCTGTTTTCCATCTGTGAAGTGCCTTTGGAGAGCTTTCGATCCTTGGTTCCAAGAGAGTGGGCCGATTCTTGGCCGCTTCGTCTCCACCGCAATCCTTAGGTGGCTACATACCTATATCTATGTGCTCTACCCTATGGCTGCACTCGGCATGCTTTGACCACTCTGTGTCGATATTGCCCAAATGCGGTTATTCTTCACTCGATGTGAATACCTTGCTACGTGCACTCACCGTGCTGGCCTGTACGGAACGGAATTACTCTCGTTCGAGTTAGGTGTAGCCATTCTTCCGCATAACCTCGCAGCACGCAGCCGATCAACATCACTGTTGAAGGAGAACGTGTCAATCGCTGATGACGACAACGCTTTGGTTACTCGAAGCTGTAGATGCATGACATGATCTCTAGTGGCACCTTTTGTCTATCCAGCAGCCTGTTCGATAGCTTACCATCACTGATCAGCCACGCACCGTCACGACTACCCGAAAGTCGGGTAGGCGAGGTGTCAGAAAATGTCCCACTCGATTGTCGAGGCGGGAGGCCTAATCGCAGATGCGCGGAAGAGAAGGGACCATCTGTGGGTTACATGCGGGATGGCTAGGACGCTCTGGTCGCGATAAGTCGATTGGCGCTTCTCTGGCCGGCATGCGTCTGCATTAACACGTCAAGAGCCGACCCATTTCAGTGCGCACATCACTACGATCCCTCACTCCCTCAACCAACGCTCACATCCCAGCCCTGCCACGCCTCGAATCCCGCCATAATTCCCACCCTGGATCTCAAACATCAGAAGTATGACCAGGCGGCCACATTCTACGGTTCGTTGAAGAGCATCTAATGCGCGACTCACAATGGACTGGCAACTCCTCGATTACGCCAAGGAAGCTGAAGATACGGCTTCGGGCCTACACGTCTTCCTCAGTGAAATTCCACAATATCGTAAAGACATCACCGGCGACATAGCAGAGCTGTTTGCCATTTCAAACGCCCTCCATGTACTGCACGAAGCCCTCGATCTCTCGCTCTATGGCCGCTACTCGGGTAGGATTCTCAAAGACTTGGGCATCTGTCTCCCGAGCCTGGGACATACGCTAGATGATGTCCGCAACATGTTCAGCAAGTCGAAGAATAAGCATCCCCCTGGCGCTTTTCCGGGAACCCCCCCATATTCAATAATATGGCAAGATGCGCTTGTCGATCTCAAAGCTCAAGGCATCTCCCTGCCCGTTCGATTGGAGCTGTATCGAACCTACTTGCAAGGCATGTACGATGCTCTGAAAGGGTAAGAGATGCGGTAGACGTTAGCTATTTGCTGGAACTAAGTGTCAATAGAGAAGAAGATGAGGAAGAGCTACACCACGTCAGACTTCGCCTCTCGAAACTGCTCAAGAAGCAGGTCCCTGTGGACCCTTGCTTCAGGCGACGGTCGTCAGTGCATGTGCCCAGCAGAGCAGGAACTCCTAAGCCTGCGTCACCCAAGATATCTCGGCCAAGGATCCACAGTCACTCCACATACCCTACAGCTTATAGTCCGCAGCCTCACCCCCATCGAGCCTCTATTGCATCGACCTGGGGAGGGGTAGGCATAGGAGACATCCCGCTCATTCCGCCGCCGGCTCCCGAAATCCCACAATCGCCGACTCATTCTTCGGCGTCATCACATACATACTCCAATCACTCGGGAGACTCTGAGCCCGTCGCCCATTGGGCCATGAAGATATTCGACGGCCGACATTCGTCCACGCCGTTCCAGACGCTGGGTGATGCCACCATCTGCCTGGGCCGAGATGAGCCTCGGGTCATTCAGATGCTGGATAGTGACGGGTTCGAGAAGGTCCTAGAGCTGCCATTTGAAGCCACCAACGTATGGGTGAGACTCTACTGGAGGGCTGATGACAACCGTGCAAGGCTCCTGTTCCTCACCATGGACCCAGATGGTCGCCGCATCAGGCAATGCATACCAGTGACCTTTTTGAAGATTTTACGCACTGAATCATGTTTACAACTTTGTCGAGTCAATCGCAAGGACGGGCAACTCGACCTGTGGGCACGCCTCCGATTTACTCTCTACGAAAGTAAGTGCAACGGCCATGGAGACCACCGAGCCGACTGACCATTTGTATAGGGATGGTGCTCTTTTATTGTACTGTTGTAGCTATGAAGCGTCAAGATCAGAATGGTATCCCCGAAGGGTTAGATGACTTCTTCCAACCGGGCGAGAAGATGGAGTTCAGCGGGTACATGTCCTCTTGCATACAAGATACTATCTCCATGGCTAACATTGTATCAGCGAAACAAAAGATGCAAGATACCTCCATGCGTTTCGAATTTTCCGCGACGAAGACTCTGGCTGCGTACGCTTCGAAGTGACGGCTCGCCGCGGCCCATTGAAAACGATTCCCATCTGGACAGCGTTTGTCACGCAGTACATTGGGCACAAGGGCTGGATGAAACGTGTTGGACCTGCTACGATTCAGTTTGGTGAACTGCACCCATACGTCTTTTGCGATGGATACAAACCACCAAAGGGCTCTACAGGAAGGTACCAGTTGACGTTTACGACACCTGAAGGTATGCAAACATGTTCCTATTGGTCTGGTCTTGTTACTCATCACCATTGTAGATGCGCATACTTTCCGAGAGATATTCCACCGGATCAGAGTGCGATGAAAGAATCAAATTGCAATGCACACGAGTAGGCTAGCTAGGTCAAGAGGCTTGATGGTTGTTGCAACGTCTCTTGTCAAACCGAGCTCTGTCAATTCTCGAGTCACGACTGAGCGGCGTTTATGGATGAACGAATTTTATGACGATACGAAACGGGCGGTTTCTGCTCTTTTGCACGATTATACCCCGTCCCACTAAAACGCCCATTACACCTGTTTGCGCACCTGGGAATGAACTGCATAGGGTTTGTACTTGAATGCTTTTTTTTCAGTTTCTTTGTCTCTTTATCCACTCTGGAGGGGCTTATGTATCAGAATGTAATGCTTTCAAAATAGCGATGGCTGAAGAGTGGGGGGGGGATATTTGCAAGTCGCTGTGGTGTTCTACGAAATATATGTTGGCTTTGCTAGTAGCAATCATTAGCAATCATCTGCTCATTCACTATATGAGTGGACCATCATGCTATTGTATACGTGGTATCGGCTGGATCCAACAATACCTATGCACTGCCTTTTGTTACCATACGAAGATATACATCGATGCAGGTCTGAAGCAGGCCAGATTGGAATGGCACCTGGATGGCAGCCACGGCCTTGGAACTTGATGGATGAAAGTGAGACGCTGTAGTTGCAGTAATACTGAGACCAACTGCTGGCATTGTGCCTCCAGCATCTTCTCCATATCATACATGGTCTTGGGAAGGCTGGTGCATGGTGTTGGCCTTAGTAGTAAGTAGCAATGGCAAGTTAGCCGGCGACGTTGTTATCAAAGTCGAGGCGGGCGGGCAATAGCGGGGCACTGGAGGGTCGTCTGTAGTCCGTGCATCCTTCACTTGTCGTAACCTGCGCAAAACCAAAATTTCTGTAATCCAAAACTTTTGGCGCGAGTGCGTCTTAGACTAGTCCACGACAAGCTCACACTTTCTTCCCATCTCTTTCCTCCTTCCTCTCGCCGTCCTCGCACCTGTACCTACCATCTCTCCTCCCCTTCCTCTCTCCTACCTTTCTCCCTAACTACCTTTCAACCGTTCTTCCTCCAACTATCTTCCCCTTCTCGACCATTCACCATGGCCGCCCAGAAGGACTCGAGCAAGATTGACCCGCTCACGGGCATGCCTCACTCCGAGGCGCATTACTTCAACAGGTTCGTGCTCTAGTCTTGTCCCAGCGCAATACTTATCCTGCGGCCTTTGCTAACCGTCATGTGCACAGCTACAACCACCACGGTTCGTCCCCCGTTGCGATACAGGTCGACCTGTCCGAATGCCATGCTAATGCGCAAATCTAGGCATCCACGAGGAGATGCTGAAAGATGAAGTGCGCACCAAGTCGTACCGTGATGCCATCTACCAGAACCCCCACCTGTTCAAGGACAAGGTCGTCCTGGACGTGGGATGCGGAACCTCAATTCTGAGCATGTATGCGCCGCCTTTCTGTCACATGGTCAGCCAATATCTGCTAGCAGAGACTGACAGATGCTCGCCAGGTTTGCCGTCAAGGCCGGCGCAAAACACGTCATTGGTGTCGACATGTCAACCATTATTGACAAGGCCAAGGAAATTGTCGAGCGCAACGGCATGTCAGACAAGATCACTTTGCTTCAGGGCAAGATGGAGGAGGTCGTGCTACCATATGACAAGGTAGATATTATAATATCGGAGTGGATGGGCTACTTCCTGTTGTACGAGAGCATGCTAGACACGGTGTTGTACGCCCGTGACAAGTACCTGGTCAAGGACGGCTTGATCTTCCCCGACAAGGCCACCATCTTCATGGCCGGCATCGAGGACGGTGACTACAAGGAGGAGAAGATTGGATGTAAGCGCCCACGCGCCTCTAGCTCTGTGTGCATACTGACCATGTAGTCTGGGATAACGTCTGGGGCTTCGACTACACTCCCCTCAAGGAAACCGCCATGACCGAGCCGCTAGTCGACACAGTCGACATCAAGGCTGTCGTTACTGACCCATCTGCCGTCATCACCCTCGACCTCTACACCTGCACCGTCGACGATCTCGCTTTCCGATTACCGTACGAGCTCAAAGTGCGCCGTAACGATTTCATCCATGCCGTCATTGCCTGGTTCGACATTGAATTCGCCGCATGCCATAAGCCCATCCGCTTCTCCACTGGCCCACACACAAAGTACACCCACTGGAAACAGACGGTGTTTTACCTAAAGGACGTTTTGACGGTGGAAGAGGGCGAGACAATCACTGGCGAACTCGAGAACAAGCCCAGCGAGAAGAACCACCGCGATCTCGACATCAAAATCACGTACAAGCTCAACGCAACCGACATGCACAGACAAGCGTCTGGTGAAGCGCAATACAAAATGTGCTAGTCTTTTGCCTTGCTGCACGCCACGCCGGCGACAGGGGGGGCTTGTTTTGAACGCAGAAACTTGATGTATGAAACGAAAGCGTCTCCCACCATAGATATCATTCTTCCATGCAGAGAGACAAAACGGCGTTTTTAAAAGGGACGGGAAAGAGGGCTTTCTTCCTCGATTACAAAAATTGGAAATGGCATCTCTAAGGTAGCATGAGCATTTTGATACATGTGTTTTCTTTTTGTTGAATCAAAAAGAAGACGTGTAATTAGTTGTATAAGAGGGATGAGGTGATGGAGCGATGGAGGGGGGAAATGAGAATTATGACTTCTTTTGGACTTGTTCTTCTTCCTCTTGGTTCTTTCTCTCCTGTCTTTCTCTGTGGCTTCTTGTTAGCGTTGTGTGACGTGATTGAGTTTAAACAGATTATTTAGCACCATGCTACCCACCTTTTGAGCATAAATATTTTTCAAGCAAGTAAGCAAACAAACAAACACACATACAGAGAGAGAGGGAGAGAGAGAGAGAAACCGGTCTTGTTCTTAATCTTGATATTCTTCCAACTCGTCGCCTGCACACTCATGCTTGTATTCTTCCAACTCGTCGCCTGCACACTCATGCTTACGCTTACAGTCACAGCGAGAACCCAGCCCTGAAACCCAACCCGTAAAAACTAAAAGCTATAAACTAGAAATAAAATAATAAAAACCTCATGGTGAGATTGGAGACTGAGACTGAAACTGGAACCAAGATTGGAACTGGAACTGGACCTGAGAGGGTTATCTGCCAGACCTAAACGCCCTGGAAACCTGATACGCCGGGGAAACGTAAATGCCGAGCAGAAGGTGTGAAATGGAAAGGATGCTGGGGTTTGGCTGGGAGGAGAATTGTGTGTGTATGGGAGGTTACATGTGTGTGGGGGTGAGAGGGCGGATATATATGTTGCGTGGTATACTAGCTTCGCGTCCATCGTTGAGTATGGGTCTGACTGGCTGGGCCGAGAAGAAAAAGAGGGCGGGGAAGTGGTAGAAGAGCTGAGATGCAAGTATGCATACAGTACATGGCACACTCACTCATCACCCAACCCAAACCCAAGCCCCATCTCCGGATCCTCCCACTTCCTCGCCTTGAGCACCCTCATCTTCTTCACCGGACTCGCCGATCGGCCCTGGGCCTCACGCTCACTAGTCTCCAGCCGGGCCCTGAGCACCTCGTTCTCGCGCTCGAGCTGCTCGACCCGGCTGCGGAGTAGGGGGTCCGGGTCTTCGTAGACCTTGACGGCGGCGCCCTGGAGCTGCGCCTTGGTTGCCTGGATGACGACGTCGATTTTCGAGTCCAGGTGGGCCTGCTGGCTGTCTTGTTCGTAGTCGAGGGCCGTCTGCCACCGGCGTCGCTCCTGGTCGACGGCGGCTTCCATGGCGAGGTAGCATTCGTCCCGGATTTGCTGTTCGATGTCGGCCAGGTGGTCTTGGGCCGCGGTCCAGGAGAGTTCGGCGGCCCGGCGACGTTTGCTTTCTTCCGCTAGTTGGAGGGCTAGGACTTCAATTTCTGCGCTGAGCCGGGCGATTTCGGCGTGTGCGGCTTCGAGGTCCTCAATGTGCGTGACGGAGGGGGTGGTGCGGCCAGAGGAGCATGAGGTGCCGGGGCGTTTGGGGAAGGTGGGAATTTGCATGGTGGAGGAGGTCGAGGGGATGCGGGGAACGGTGACTTCGCGCGCGAGAGCCGAGTAGCGGAGGATTTGGGAGGTGGCGTTGTAGTCGCCTTGGGGGTCGGCGGTGACTATCATAATGGACTTTTGAGGTTGGGGGTGGTTTTGGGCCTGTCGGGTGGATGAGGGAAAGGAGTTGGAGAAGAGTAACTCGGTGAGTTTGCATTGTCGAAAGGGAACAATATTCTTATCCTGTTAGTGATTGGAATGGAGGGTGAGAGTATTTGGGGGTCGGTACCTTTGACCCGCCTTGATTGTCAGACTGCATCTGCATACACTGCCCCAGGTACATGAGGGACTCGTTGATCTTGCCAGCTTCGGCGAGCGTCTCGCCAGCCGTCTTTGCGTTCCGAGCGCGCTCAGAGCCTGCCAGGTCGACTATGGTGAGCGTGCTGCCTGACCAGGGGCCCTTTGGTGCCGCGTTGCGCTTCTTCACTTCGATGCAGAAGAAACCATGGCTGCGTGAGCTAACCGCATTGCTTCCTGTGCCAGCGACCTTGCGTTCCAGGAGGCCCGTCTCCAAGACCATCATGGCCTCTTCAAAGTTGCCACAGATGATCTTGGTGAGGCCGGCAACCACTTTGCGGTCTGGGCTCTGTTCAGTACTCTTGAACAAGAGCGCTCTGCGCTTCAAAGTCGAGTTCTTGCTGCGCATGGCGTTGCCCGTCAAGAGGTCGAAGATGCGGTCGTTGTAGACTTCGTACATGGAGATGACAATGGCATATTCAGCATGGGGGTCCGCGGCTATGTTCACGTCTGCTACTGAGGGTGTCTGTGGTAGGGCTGACAGTCGCGGCATCTTGTGGGAGCGCGCGGTGCCGCCTGCCGAGAAGATGCTACAGTCCTGCATGGGCGTCTGCGCGCGCGACGATGGGCGCTCCGGTTGACTGTCGCCATAGAGCTTGTCAAGGAAGGCCGAAGCAGTGAACATGTGCGCCTCAGAGACATCTGCGGCCGCCAGGGACGAGAAGGCGGGGGCGCCGTAGAAGGACTGTACGAGCTGCTGCTCGCAGGTCTGGAAGACGGCGTCGAGTGTCATCTGGACCAGGCCACGCTGTGACTTGGTGCCCAAGATGGTATGGCTTTTGCCAGACCCTGTGACGCCCAGCGTAGCCACGAGTCCATCGCGGCCATGGTGTCCAGGAGCGCCCAAGACAGCCTCGACCATGGGCACGATGCCGGTGCCGTGGAAGAGATGTGTCTGCTGCGCATCTTCCTCGAAGACTTGGGTGAATGCAAAGCGCTCGACGGCGCGCTTGCGGTGGTCATGTGACGGCGGCTTGATGGTGATGTGTGTCGCATGAGCGCGCGTGCTATCCTCGACGCTGAGGAAGCGTTGGCCCGCATTCGAAGGGCGTAGGCGCAGAAAGACATCAAAAAGCGAGCTCGAGGGGCGTGGGGGAGGCTCCATGGTTGTCATCAAGGCAATGCGGTGTGAGGATATGTGCTGTCGCGCGCGATCATGTCGCTATCGTCGTCACGATGTCTTAGGCGGGAGAGACGTAGGAGTGGTCGACTGTGTGATAGGGAGTCGCTCGTGCATTCTTTGTGTATGCACAACTTTGCCGCCCCGCGTCGCCAGGGGCAACCAACGCGTCTGGGGCCTGGCACGGCGACGCGACATCACGAGATGCCATTACCGGTACCTAGCCAGTCATTGCCCCTACATGTATCCAGATGTCCCATCCTCACGCCTCATACCGGTACTTCACGCTTCACGCTCCATCGCCCAAGAGCTTCCTTTCACAGTCAGAAGAAGGAGTGGTCGACCGTGAATCGAATCAGAATGGGGGGGGGGGGTTTTTCTCCGAAACATGGCGCTGCTACCGGTAGGCACCGGTATCTCGACGCACGCCTTGCCATGACCAGCACAGCTAGAGTGCGGGATACAAGCTTGTGACAACATACAATGTACCGGTACTTACCTACGGTAACAGGACACTGCACTGCCAAGATCACCTTGAACAAGACGAGTCGTTGGCCCATGAGGCATCTGTCGTGAGAGACCGTCACTCCTATTGTCCTTTCTCACTATCCTCACAATGACAATTCAAATCTACTGCGATCCGTGCACGGTAGGTTCCTCATGCGATGGGCGACATCAGACGTACGGTACCTAGCTAAGCTCATTTGCTGCTATCAGGTCAACAGCCGCAAGGTGCTTGCTGGCCTCAAGCAGATGAATGCGGATTATAATCATGTCTTCATCAACTACGTCACTGGCGAGCACAAAAGCGAGGAATTCGCCAAAATAAACCCCCTCAAGACCGTGTATGACATCCGCCACCAAACAAGTGTACTGTTTTCTAACCATACATAACGAATTAGCCCGGTAGCGACAGACGGTCACTTTACACTCACCGAATCGGTAGGCTGATTGTCGAGACCCGTCCCTCTTCAATGGCTGATTCGTTCCTTGTAGAATGCTATCCTGCAATATGCCGCTGATAAATCCGGAGCCGAATCCATGTATCCCAAGGACCTCAAGCGACGTGCTGATGTAAATCGTTGGCTGTTTTGGGAAGCCTCGTCCTGGTTCCCTGCTTGCTACGTCTACCTGATGGAGAACGCTGTCAAGTCTCTCATGGGCGGCGAACCCGATCAGAAAGCGATCGACGCTGCGTCAGCCAAGTTCCACACGTGCGCAAGCGTCCTGGAAGCCCGCCTTAGTAAGAACAAGTGGCTCACAGGCGATGATGTGACCATAGCCGACATAGCTGTTGCTGCGGCCATGCCTGTGCCCCAGGCCATGATGCTCCCCCTTGAAAATTATCCCAATGTGAAGAGATGGCTTGCAGAAGAGGTTCAACAGCTTCAAAGCTGGAAGAACACACAGGGTGCGGTAGACAAGGCTCTCCTCCCCAACCAATCCGCCACTGTATGTGCATCTTTTATTATTACCGCCCTAAACTCACTAAGCGTGCGGTGAGGAGCTCACCGAGATCTACTATGGTGGTAGGTAAAAGTGCTCATCGTGGGTCTACTTGCAGGGGTAAAGTAGGGCCGTGCTCACGGAGATTAGAAACTCTATATTCTAATACTTTTTATGCAAATCTATAGTAATTTGTATAGTAATTAATGCACCCCTAAGTTTCTCAATGTTTCTATCTCTTAGTCCTCAACCCCTATTACTACCCCTACCGCCACCTCTACCACCACCTCTACCACCACCTCTACCACCACCTCTATCACCACTATCTATCACCACTATCTATCACTACTATCTACTATGTCTTAAACACTAGTTACACCCCTAATCTTAATCCTATTAAGTCTATCTAGAATTAGATAAAAGATTAGATTAAATTCTACTATCTAGACCTACTTATAGGGCAACAGCCCTTATACAAACAACTATAAGAGATTGTGCGCGCAGCCTAGGACTTAATTACACCTAATTAGCTCTAATTACTAGTAAATAGTATAAGGGCTCGCTGCTAGGCAGTGATTAAAGCCTAAGGTGGGCACACTAAGTATTAAGAAACTTTAAGAAATAAATATATTACTGTATCACCCCAATCTAGTATAGTTAGATACAGGGGTGGCTCAGGCGCCCCACAGGGGAGCACTTTTGCCTGATACCATAGTATTTTCACATGTGTAAGATGCTAAGAACATTCATAAACTAGGCGACGACGCAGTAGAAGTCCGGGTGCATCATGTCTGGCCATATAAAAAGGGCTGCATTTTTAATGTGAGTGGGTATTCACTGCACGCTCTTGAGACAAAGCACTCTGTTTAAGACCAGAAACGGCAGTGCTAACGGGCTTTTACCCGGAGGTTGATCAGGCTTTTAAAGGAAATTATTTGCGGCGAAGCGGGTACTTGTCTCCGATCATACTATACGAAGTCAACGCATTGCAATGAAAGCACTTACCGATGAGAAGAACGAGTCGCAGCGTGTCCCCGTCGTGCTTGTTCACTGCGACTACACCGATGAGTCTGATCCTCTGCATACGTCAGTTGCTAAGCGACAAAAAAGAAGAGCTGCTCTTACGTCGCGTCGCCTTCCTAAATATATCGAAGCCACTGAATGTACCTAGTGGAAGAACAGCCTCTTTCAGCTTGCTTGCCATTCGTGAATGTACAATCATGCAATGACGAAGACTTCTTTTTTCAGAACTCTTTTCATATCACAAAGACAAAGTCGACGAGAATTATGTCTTGCAACACTAAGCGCAGCACAGATCACTAAATGGCGGTATTTTGTCAACATAATACTAACGTGATCCACCACCGAGCGCCCACCCCCACCGAGCGCCCACCAACACCAAAATCCACCACCCACTAAATAAGGATATTGCGCCACCTATAATAGCTATTATTACAAGATTTCTTAGAGCTATAATTATTAGATCTATTAGAGTAGATTAAATATTTTAGATTATATAAGTAGCTTTTTAGGGGGTCTAATTAGGCGCCTACGCTATAAAGTTGCCTCTACTACTATATCCTCTTCTACTAGCTCCTTATTAACTACCTTAGCTAGTATAATAGTAGGAGGCTTAAGGATTTACCTTTTACCTATTTAAGATATTTTAATATTATTTTAGAGTTACTTTTCTAGTTACTTAGTAGTTTTCTACTTATTATATATAGTAGCTTTTTAGGTAGTTTTCTCCTTTTACTCCTTTTTAGTAATTACTTAATTTAAGTAACACTCCTTTATAAGTTAAGCTTTAGTAAGCTTCTATTACTTATAAAGCTTAATTACCTTGCTTTTTTAGTATTATAGCTCCTATTCTTTAAGGTTCTTTTACTCCTAGAGCTTAAACACTTGCTCTACCTTTAATAGTAAAATAAATTAGGTACTACTACTATAATTATTATTAGGGGGTAATAATAGAGGTTTACTACGCTTCCTACGCTTCTTCTTATTAGCTAGGGTAGCCCTTAGGTGTTTATTTTTGTAGTTAAGTAGAGTATTTCTTACTAATATAGTATAGATTATCTAGCTAAGCTTCTTTAACTATTTATTATAGATATTAATTATAGTATTATAGAGTAACTACTCTATCTTTCTCTAATTACTTACACTTAATATTAAGGTTATACTATTACTTAAAGAAGGCTAGTTACTATTATTTATAGGTGCTTTAAACCTTAAAAGGATAATATTAGGGTTAAGTAGTAAGATACCTATTACTTTAAAAGCTATTAATATTAGCTTTTCCTTAAAGGTATTACTCTATATAGTATTAAATAACTAGTAGAAATCCCTCTTAGTAATACTTGTAACCCCTTAGGAGCTATCTAGAAAACTAGATAGTTAAGCTTTATATAAAGCTATAAAGGGAGCAAATACTATAATATTAAGTAGCTAAAGGGTGTAAGTGCTATAAGGGGGATATATTATAAGTAGGATCTTATATTTATTATAGTACTTAATAAACTCTATTATTATATAAGATCTATAGCTATTAAGGATAAGGAGCTAGTATAAAGTATAAGCTTTAGCTTTTATCTTATAATTAAACACCTTCTTAAGCTAGGATACCCCTAGGGTATAGCTTATCCACCTACTTAGTAATCCTATAAAGAAAGCTTAGTATTATAATAGGTTAAAATCTTATAACTAGGTATCCTATAAAGCTCTAGATTAGGACTAATAAATAAGGGTAGAGGTAAGAGTAGTACTATTAGCGCAAATATAAGCTATAGTAGTAATCTATTCCCTATTACTATCCTAAAGTATAGCTTTAATCTTTCTCTACTTATAGGCGCTCTTATTAAATATATATTTAGTTTTTAATAGTACTCTAATAAGAAAACCCTTCTTATCTATATTATAGATATGCTAACTCTTAATATTATATTACTCTATTTTTTAGTATAAAAGCTTAAAGTATAAGCTATACTTAAAGGTAGAATTAGCTTTAAAGTAGTTATAATTAAGCCTAGTAGCCTAATAGGAGATAAGATTAATATTATAGTGGTTAGTAAAGCGCTATACCTAATTTTGTAACAATAAGGCAGAATTGCCTGCCTATTATTCTATGCCAAGTTAGGCCTAATAAAGGCCTGACTTACTTATGTATATAGAGAACAGCTCGCCTATAGTTAGGATAGGTATATTCTTCTTGTCCTTTTGTATAAGACCTATAGGTGTAGGATGTTATAGACTAGCCTTAAGGGAGAATGCAATAAGCGTTGATAATAGTATTTAGTATCTTAAAGGAGAGATAAGCCCTCCACACCTTTTTATAGGTGTCTAGTGTGTTCGCTTAGTAGTAGTGTTAGACTTGGTCTGTCTTGTGTTAGACCAAGGCTTAGGCATAAGCCTAAGCCCTTTACATACCCCTAACCTTCCCCCATAACCTATCGTGAAATTGTTTTTCTAGGGGTCTAGGGTTATGTCTTTATCCTCTATAATCTATATTAGGCTTTATTGCTATATTTTTTTTTTAGTTTTGTTGTTATATCTTTGTGTTCCTTCCTAATTTGTAACGGGCCTGTATATTAAGTGGTACGCGCGCGTAGCGTCTATGCGCTTATTTTAGCACCCTACTATAAAAGTTCTAACATAGCTATCCTACCCTACTATAAATTTCCTAAACTTACTTGTTATATAACAGATTCTCCCTACTAATTAGCCCTCTCTCTACTCTCTTTCTATTAATCCTGCCTATCTAGCCCCTATTATATTATTATCTACTACTACTAGTGCTAGTAGTAGGGATCTACTACGAGGTGGTTAGACCCCGCGCTAGGCCTACTAGGACAAGGTGCGTACTTCTAATATTCTCCCTATATTTTCTACACTAACTTTTTATTTAGTATATATCTCCCTAAACCTAGTTACTTAGTAGCTTTATTATTTCTAGTAACTTAGATAATAAGGAATATAATAGTAGCTTTATAAAGCCGCTTCCCTATAATTAGTGTATTAACTAGCTTTATCTTTTTAGCAAGTATAACTATTAGGAAGGTAGTAGTAAGTTCCCCTTAATTTTTATTTTCTTTATAGCAAGTTCTAACTATATCTAGGGCGCTTGTGCAAGTCCTGCTATTGTAGCCACAAGACCTATACTTAATTAGAAGCTATCCTTACTAATAATCCTAACGTTTACTAAGCCCTCTATAACTAGCTTTAGTTTTATTATAGTTACTAGGAGGATTGCCTCTATATTACAAAGAAGGGAACCCTTAGCACCTTTATAGGGAAACCTACTAAAGGCACCTATTACTAGTTTATACTATAGTTCTACTAGCTCTGCTACTATTTTAAGGATCTTATATTAAGGGCTTAAACTAATAATACTATTACTCTGCTTGCCCCTACTACCTACTCGCGCGCCTATAATTAGTATTAGCTTAGTGCTGTTATTCTATCTACTACTAGTGCTCTAGTATTTCTACTTTAGTCTACTATTACGCCTTTATATAGTAGTTATAGCAACAATAATATTATATAGCTTACTACTACTACTAGTATTACCTTCTAGCGCATTAACTAGCGTATAAACAAGACCTAGGCCTAAACTAACCTTTATATTAATAAGCTTAAGAGTGCTACTAAGCGTACTACCTGCGGTATTAAGACTCTTATTATTAGTATTAATTTTCCTTTGTTCCCTTTATATATATTCTAATATTTACTTTCTTTTAGGCCTAGGGTGCTATATATTAGTAGACTATTAAAGCACTACCCTCCTCCTACTACTACTACTACTATTACTTATACTTCTTAACTAAGTCCTCCTCTACCCACGCTACGCGTAAGCGTTACTACTATTACTAAGAGACGTAGAGGCGTTAAAATAATATAAACAATAGTTTAGGGGGAGCTAGGGGGGGGTTAGTTATAGATAGTAGTAGTATAGACACTACTACCTAATTATTAGCTACCTTATAAAACTTTAATAGTAGGGCACTTACTTAGAGTGTTATTAGGATAAATAAAAGATATCTCTAATACCTTTCTACTTCTTAATTATAACAAAGGTCTAAGTTATTATTCTAGTTTTCTTCTATACTTACTTCCTAGCTTTTATGTATATTAGGCTATTATTATGCGTGATATCCCTATACTATTCCTTAAACCTATCTAGAGCCTTAGCATCCTACACTACCTCTAGCGGGTGCTATATTAGATTAATATACCCCTTCTATTTTACTAGGACTTAATACTTCCCTTTTCCTCTTGTATTCTTTATACAAAGGATCTTTTCTACTTCCTATTTATCTAGCGTTATATCTTTATTTTCTAGAGTAACTATAGGGCCTAGTTATAAGTCCTAAAGCTTCTAGCTTAGTAGTAGATTATTAGTAGCCCTCTCTAGCAGATCTATATGCACAGTCTTATATAAGTTCCCTAGTAAGTCTAATACTACTATAAGTAGAGTAGGGACTTCTATTACTTTATACTTTACCTATAGCTAGTTAAACTTTTTACTTAGTTAGTTTATCTTTATATTACGTATTACAAACTAAACTATATTACCTTTTAGGAACTTTTTAGCTAGGCGTTAAGACTAGTTTATTACTTCCTATTATTACTACTATTAGAACACAATAGCTACTTACGCTAGCTCTACACCCCTCTATAGGTGCAATAAGAACGCTATAGCCTCTCTATAAGGATTCTTAGGCTTTACTAGTAGTAATATTAGCTTTTATAGAGTGTCTATAGTATACCTATTTAAAAGAAGATTTAGGCTAATACTAGTTATGCTAGAGTCCCTATTATTAAGTGCAAGTTAGTAGGCTAGTAGGTAGTTAGGCTAGTTAGTCGTGCTTAAAGCATACTATTATACGCAGCACTACCTGCACTTCTTAGTTTGCCCACTCTATCCTGCTGTCTATCTAAGGGTGGTATGCAGTAGACAGTAACTAGTTTATCTTTATTATCTAGTATAACGTTATCTAGAAAGATCCTAACTAGTTAGAGCCTTAGTTAGTAATAATAGAGGATAGGAAGCCCTAGAACTACTACTAGTTGTCCTAGAAGATCCTTATATAATAATTAGCTACTATAGAGACTATTGCTTTAAGCTAAATATATTTAGACAATCTATTAGTAATAACTAATAGGAACTAAGGTTTGCTATTATCTTTTGTAGGTAGGTTAACTATAAAGTCTATAGATATTTAGGACTAGT